GACAGTGCAGTGCACCCTCCGTACTGCACTGGAAGTGTCAGCCCAAACTGGGAGCTTCTGACTCTGATGTAAGACCATTGTCGAAAGGAGAAAGTGACTGGGTTGGAAAGTAAAAACCAGGCAGCATATCATTGAGGGGAGACATAGATGAAATATATAGATGGAATCTTTCTGTGTCAAACATTTTCATGATGTGCCACATTCCAGTGAGCAAACCATTTTCTGAAACTCTCCAACAGTTAAGTATCAGGAATCACGGCTTTCTTTGTCACAAAGACTGTGAGCATCTGATCAGCTGCCTCTGTGGAATCCCTCACTTCTACCAACTCATAAATACAGACCATCTCTAAAGATCCCACACCTCTCGTCCTGAACTCACAGCTTTCTCTAGTTTCTCTCTTATCTCCCCTCATGACCTTTCTTTGCTCACCTCGTCTATCAGAACCACCTCCTGCTCCTTTGCCTTACAGCTGCCCACTTAGGACTGAGATGAGTAGGAATTTCTTCACTCAGAGGGTTGGTGAATCTTTGGATCTCCCTGCCCCTGGCACTCAGTCACTGAATAGGTTCAAGACTGAGATCAATAGATTTCTACATATTAAAAACACCCAGGAATACAGGGGCAGTGTGTGAAATGTTCACACAGAAGATCAGCTAATAATCGTTTTTCAATGGTGGAGCAGGATTGAGGGGCTGAATGAGCTAATCCTGCTCCTATTTCTCATATTCTTATACAATGTCACATCTAGTTTTATCATTTTCCACTGAACCACCTTGGGGCATTTTATTACTCTAAAGGTGCTAATTAAATAAAATGTGCCTTTGCTGCAATACCAGCAAATTGTGACTCTCAGTAGGAATGGAAGTTGACATAATGAAGATTATGCATTAATCTGTTCTCTGGATGCTTTAGGATAAGGCTGGCATTTGATGACCACCTGTATTTCCTTAGTGTAAGGAGTTTGCTTGCCACTTTTGTGCGTAGTTGACAGATTATCGCATCAGTAGGGAAGGCAGTTATACTGTTCCTCCTCAGGGAATGTTTGATAGGAAGTAGTGGGAGATTTCCCGTTTATCTACTCCTTGGTGCAGCTCCCCTGGGAATGTTTGTTTGGACAGTAGTTGTTTTACTCTGTATCTAACCTATGGTGTTCCTGACCTAGAAGGAATTATACACCGTTGTGGTATAAACTGCACCAACTCCTTTCAAAACTGTTCACATAAAGCTTCTATAAACAATTTGTTCCTTCAATCATTTATACTATGCAGGTTGAGTTGTAACAAAGATAAAAGCAGGTGAGGCAGAGATTATTTACCCCTCTCAATCCGATAATCCAGATTCCAAATCCACCCAGCATTCCTGACATTGTGACCACAGGATTCCAGCTGTCCCATTTCCAAAGAACTGGCCATTGGCGCCATCTGCTGTCAGAGGCAGAATTGTCAATGAACCTGAGAATGGCTCAGTAATGAGCAACAATGAAATGCTCATTCATACGTTGTCATGAAGTTCTTTAATGTGACATCCATTTTGATCAGGTTTCAGGATTTGGGCATCACTGGAAAAGCTTGAGAAGGTAGTGGCAACCACCTTCTAGAATTAATGCACTGCATTATTTGCGTCTGAAAAGATTAATACTGAGGAGCCCAATAAGCACCGCGCATATGATGATTTCATCTGAATTTGCAGGAAAGATAGTTTAGGATTTCAAAGCAGTAAGACCTAACATCTGATCCTCCTCAAAGTCTCTGTAAAATATCAATCAACCTGTCTAACCTCAAACTAGATGCTAACATGTAATAAACTACATCTTATCTACAAGAGACTCATGGGATGGTTTTCTTCTCCCACACTAGACAAAGTAGGACCTGTATACTCCTACACTTAAAGGGAATGGGGGCAGCAAACTTCATCCTGAGCAGCAGCTCAGACAGCGTACTAAGATGGCATCATCATGGATTTCCTCTACTGTACCTGACCTTGTAGTTTCCTACACTTTAACAGTATGGTGACAGCAAACTTTATTATAAGCAGGAGGTCATACAGTGTAGCAACTGGCATTTACTAACCAAATAGGAATTCCAGGATGTTTTAGCAAATGTGGAAGGGTGGAGATATACTTTCAAGTCAGGATGCTGTGATCATTAAATGCAGGTTATACACTTTATACTGAGAATGTAGCTGAGAAAGAGGTCTAAAGTTGTGGTATCTAGAAACAAGTCATTCAATGCACATATCTGTGCAACTCTTCACTATAGCAATCACAAACCAATTCCATTGTTTTGCTATCTACTAATAGTTCCGAAATAATTCCAAACTAATCCCACAGTCCAGCTCTTTCCCCATTGTCCTGTCAAAATCTTCAACTAATTCCACCATTCCACTCTGTCCCCATGTTCCTGTATCAACCCCAAACTATTTTTAAAAAAAATTCATTCACAAGACGTGAGCATCATTGGCTGGGCCTGCATTTATTATCCATCACTACTTACCCTTGAAAAGGTGGTGGTGAGCTGCCTTGAACCACCAAAGACCATGTGCTGTAGGCAGACCCCCAATGCTCTTGGGGAGGGAATTCCTGGAATTTGACTCAGCAACAATGAAGGAACAGTGATATATTTCCAAGTCAGGATGGTAGTGAATTGGAGGGGAACTTGCAGGTGGTGCTGTCCCATGTATCTGCTGCCCTTGTCCTTCTAGATGGGAGTGATCGTGGGTTTGGAACACTCTGCCTAATTTGGCATTCTGGCAAATTTCTGAGTGCATCTTGCAGATAATGCATTGCTGCTACTGAGCATCACTGGTGGAGGTAATGGATGCTTATGGATGTGGTGCCAAACAAGCGGGCTGCTTTGTCCTAGATGACGTGAAGTTTCTTGAGTGTTGTTGGAGCTGCACCATCCAGGTAAATGGGGAGTATTCCATCACACACCTGACTTGTGCCTAGTAGATGGTGGGCAGGTTTGGGGAGTCAGGAGGTGAGTTACTCACTGCAGTACTCCTATCCTCTGACCTACTCTTGTAGCCACAATATTTATATGGTGAGTCAAGTTCAGTTTCTGGTCAATGGAAGGTCAGGATGGTATTGGTAGGGGAGTCAGTGATGGTAATCCCATTGAATATAAAGGGTAAGTGGCTAGATTGTCTCTTATTGAAGATGGTGACTGCCTAGCATTTGTGTGGCACAAATATTATTTCCTACTTGTCAGCCTAAACCTGGTTATTGTCCATATCTCATTGCATTTGGACATGGACTGTGTCAATAACTGAGAAGTCAAGAATGCTGCAGAACATTGTATAATAATCGGTGAAGATCCTCACTTCTGACTTTATGATGGATGGAAGGTCATTGATGAAGCAGCTGAAAATGGTTGTGCCTAGCAAACTAGCCTGAGGAACTCCTGCAGGGATGTCTTGAAAACTGACCTCCAACAAGCACAATCATCTTCCAATGCGCTAGCAATGACTCCGACAAGGGAAAAGTTTGTCCCAATTCTCATTGATTCCAGTTTTGTTAGGACTCCTTGATGCCCCACTCAGTCAAATGCCCCGCATTAATGTAAAGGGTTGCCACTCTTACTTCACCTTTGGAATTCAGCTCTTTTGTCCATGTTTGAACCAACGCTGTAATGAGATCAGGAGCTGAGTGGCCCTGGCAGAACCCAAACTGGGCGTCACTGAGCAGGTTATTACAGCAGGTGCTGCCTGGTAGCACTGTTGATGAGACCTTCAATCACTGTACTGATGATTGAGAGTAGACTGATGGGATGGTATTTGGTCAGGTTGCATTCGTCCTGCTTTTTGCACACACAACATACCCAGGCAATTTTCCACACGGTCGGGTAGATGCCAGTGTTGTAGCTGAACTGTACTTGGCTAGGGGTATGGCAAGTTCTGGAGCACAGGTCTTCAGTACTATTTCTGGAATATTGTCAGGGTCTGTAGCCTTTACGGTACCTTGTGCCTCCCACCATTTCTTGATATCGTGTGGAATGAATCAAATCGGCTGAAGACTGGTATATGTGCTGTTGTGGAACACTGATGAAGGTCAAGATAGGTTATCCACCCAGTACTTCTGGCTGAAGATTGCTGCGAATGCTTCAGCCTTATCATTTGCATCGATGTGCTGGGCCCTTCCATCATTGAGGATGGGGTTATTTGTGGAGCCTCCTCCTCCAGCGAGTTGTTTATTTGTCCACCACCATAAGACCATAAGATAAAGTAGGAGAATTAGTCCATTCAGCCCATCAGGTCCACTCCGCCATTTGATCATGGTTGATGCATTTTTCAACCCCATTCTCCTGCCTTCACCCCGAAACCCTTCATCCTCTTACCAATGAAGAACCTATCTAACTCTGTCTTAAATACACTCAATGACTTGGCCTCCACAGCCCTCTGCAGCAAGGTGTTCCACAAATTAACCAGCCCCTGGCTGAAGAAATTCCTCCTCCTCGCAGTTCTAAAGGGTCATCCCTTCACTCTGAGGCTGTGCCCTCAGGTCCTAGTCTCTCCTACTAGTAGAAACATCTTCTCCACATTCATCTATCCAGGCCTTTCAGTATTCTGTAATTTTCAATCAAATCCCCCTCACCCTTCTAAACTCCATCAAATACAGACCAAAAGTCCTCAACTGCTCCTCATACGACAAACCCATCATACCCAGAATCATTCTTATAAACCTGCTCTGTGCTCCCACCTAGGCCAACACATCCTTCTTTAGATACAGGGCCCAAAACTGCTCAGAATATTCCAAATGTGGTCTAGCCAAAGCCTTACACAGCCTTAGCTGTACATTTCTGCTCTTCTTTTCTCACCCTCTTGCAATGAATGTTAACATTGCATTTGCCTTCCTAACAGCTTAACTACCACCATTCATAACTGGATACGATAGGAATGCAGAGCTTATCAATGATCCGTTGGTTATGGAATTGCTTAGTTCTGTCTATCACTCGCAGCTTATGCTGTTTGTCATGCAAGTAGTTCAGCTTCACTAGGTTGACACCTCATTCTTATGCCTAGTTTTACTCGTGGCATGCCCTGCTGCACACTCTACTGAACCAGGGTAGATCCCCTAGCTTGGTGGCAATGTTTGAATTGGGGATATGCCAGGCCATGGCATTGCAGATTGTGTTAGAGTATGATTCTGCTGCTTTAATGGCCCACAGCACCTCATGGATGCCCAGTCTTGAGTTGCTTGATCTGTTCGAAGTCAGTCGCACTTAGCATGATGATAGTCCTGATAGACCTGCTGCCCTTCTCCTTCCAGATGATAAGGGTTGTGAGTTTGGAAGGTGCTGCCTCTGAAGCCTTAAAAATTTCTGCAATGCATTTTGTAGACAGTATACACTGCTGTTACTGAGCGTCAGTGGCGGAGGGAGTTGGATGCTTGTGGATGAGGTGCCAATCAAGCGGCTGCTTCTCCTGAATGGTGTCAAGCTTCCTGAACGTTGTTAGAGCTGCACCCATCCAGGCAAGTGGGGAGTATTTTATCACACTCCTGACTTGTGCCTTGTAGATGGTGGACAGACTTTGGGGAGTCAGGAGGTGAGTTACTCACTGCAGGATTCTTAGCTCCTGACCTGCTCATGTAGCCATTGTATTTATATGGTGAGTCCATTTCAGTTTCTGATCAATAGTAATCCCCAAGGTGTTGGTAGTGAGGAATTCCACAACTGCAATGTCAAAGGCCAATGGTTAGATTATTTGTTGTTGGAGATGGTCATTACCTTAAGACCATAAGATATTGGAGAGAATTTGGCCATCTGTTAAATCTGCTCTGCCATTTGAATGCCACCACCTGGAATTTGAGTGGTGCTAATGATACTTGCCACTTATCGGCCCAAACCTGGATATTATGCAGGTCTTGCTGCATCTAGACATGGACTGCTTCAGTAATTGAAGAGTCACAAATAGTGTTGAACATTGTGCAGTCATCAGTGACAATCCCTACTTCTGACCTTATGATGGAGGGAAAGTTATTGATGAAGCAGCTGAAGATGACTGGGTCTAGGACACTACCCTGAGAAACTCCTATAGAGATGCCTTGCAGCTGAGCTGACTGTCGTCCAACAATCACAACCATCTAACTACGTGCCAGGTCTGACTCCAACCAGTGGAGAGGTTTTTTTCTGATTTTCACTGACTTCAGTTTTGATGAAGCTCCTTGGAAACACACAGAGTCAAATGTGTCTTCGACAGGCAGTCACTCTCACTTCACCTCACTAATCCCACTGTCCAAATCTCTCCCTCTTATCCCCACTGTATCAAACCAAAATTAAGACCACTGTCTGGCTCTCCCCCCATTGTCTTTTATCAATCCTCCATTCATTCCACATAGCCCTTGACTCTCCTTTGCTTCATATATTTATCCAATGTTCCTTTAAAAGAGCCAACATTTTCTGTTTCAACCACTTCTTGCGATACATCATTCCATGCTCCAAAAACCCATTGAGGAAATATATTTCTCCTAACCTCACTCTAACAATTATTGATAATCCCTCAAATCGATAAAACAGTTATGCTGTCAAAACTTTTTATAATTTCTAATATCTGCATCAAATCTCCCTTCTATAGACCCATGTGTGAACAGTCTTGGTGTCCACTGTCAAAATCATCCCAGTGAAACTCTTTGCGGTTTTAAGTTCCTTGCTAAAATGGGGGCCTGGAATTTCTCATGGTTTCTAACTGTGGGCTAACTGATACTTTGTCCATCCTACAGTTCACTAGCATCTTCCCGATAGCAGTCTCTTATCAATATCAATCAAACATCAAACCATGTGCAATTTTAGAGTCATCTCATAATACAAATCCATTACACAAAATCCACCCTGCCCCAAGTGGTGGAATATTTCTTTTCCTTCTCTGTCACAACCTCCAAAGAATCAGAATGCTAATGGGTATTTTGAATTTATACATTCACATCAGTGACTCAGGCTTGCTGTGACAGGGTAAAGACTCACCACTTATATCACGGACAATTGCTTGCTGACGCAGGACCTTTACATCTGGGGGACCTTTCTCTGAGAAACAATGAAGTTAAATACTTGTTACTGCAGTCGCACATGAAATAAGCAAAAGCACAATTGTTTAGCGACATAGAGTCTGAAATCAGCATCTTTAGGAAAGTGGGACGAAGGGTCAACATCTTCAGGGGAGGAGAATGAGAGAGTCATGATCTTCATGACACGGTGAGAGACAGTCAGCACCTTCGAGGGGGACAGAATGAGAGTCCATTCCTTCAGGAGTCCTGGAGAATCAACACTTAAGAGAATGAGGAGAGAGTCAGCATCTTCAGTGGATCAAGGTCAGGGAGAGCATTGACAGTTTCAGAAGATATGGTAAGGTAGGGGGAAGACAGAGTCAACACCATCAAGGGATGGGGAGCAGAAGAGTCAGCACCTTGAAGTGACATGGGAAGTGGTGGGAGAATGTCAGCACCTTCAAGCGATGAGAGGACAGTCAATACCTTAAGGCAATGGGGGGGCCGGGGGGAGAGTAAACGTCTTCAGGCGAGGTGGGGGGGAGAGTCAATACCTTCAGGCATTGGGGGGAGAAGCAACATCTTCAGGCAATGGAGGGAAAGTAAACACCTTTAGGTGACGGAGGGGAGTCGACACCATTAGGTGATGGGGGAGGAGTCAATACCTTCAAGTGATGGGGGTAGAGTTGACACCTCCAAACAATGGAGGGAAAGTAAACACCTTCAGGTGATGGGGGAGAGTCGACACCTTTAGGCGATAGGGGGGTGAGAGTTGACACCTTCAGGTGATGGGAGGAGAGTCATCGCCTTCAGACAATGGGAGGGGGGAGAATAAACAACTTCAAGGGTGGGGCTGGTGAAAGAGGAATGGAGTGTATGGCCACAGTAACTTCAGGAAAATTATTTGGGGCTGAGTTACCGCTCATATCTCTAATCATAGCTTGTTTACGCAGAATCTTCGATTCCTGAAGTCTTTTCTCTGCAAAAGAAAAATATAATAAACTTTGATTGAGAGAAGACACATCGGTCGTACATTTAAATGTCACATAAGGACTTAAGAAATAGGAATAGTTCATCCAGCCCCTTGAATCCTCTCCCCCATTCAGTACAATCATAGCTGATCTGCTGTGTCAGCTACACACACTATCCACATATCCTCAGATTCTCTTAACCACCAAGAATCTACTGATCTCAGTTGGGAATATACTCATGAGTATTGATTGAGCATGCTCAGTCTCCTGGGACAGAATTCTCAGTCTTTCACAAATATGTAACAGGAAAACCAAGTGGGTAACAGCTCAGCACACCAAGCAGAACCACAGGTTTATCCCTGTGCATGATGACACTATCCTTCAGTAATCACACACCAGGCTAGCAGAAATAAATCTTCCAAAAGAAATCAAGCTCACTCTGAACAGGACCAGCACAGTTTATTTATCTGAGAGAGAAAGATAAAAATCTGAAGAAACAGAGACAGAGTACTAGAATGCAAGAGAGAGTGAGAGGGACAGAGACAGACAGACAGACAAAGAGAGAGAGCCACAAGAGAGCATGATAGTCACAGAGCACGAGAGAGAGAGACTGAGAGAACAGAAGAAATACAAATACGCACAGATGAACAAAGACAGAGAGAGTGTCAGAGAAAACAACAAGCAAAGCAGAGACAGCATGAAAATGAGAGTGAGAGAGACAAGATGCATGCACTCAGACAAGGACAGATAATCAAAAAGAAAGATAAAGAGACAGTAAGAGACAGAGAGAGAAATGAAGAGAGATAGAGGTAACATCTTATCCCAGGTTTCTTTTACCCTATTCTCTGCCCCCAGCCTGCTTGCTCTCAGCCCTACTGCTCCCAGACCCTAGTACCCTCTGTGATTAGTTCCAGCCACTCCTATTCTCCATGCTACCAAACCCAGTTCTCTTGCCCTAAGTTCCAAGCCCTGATCCTCCTACCCAAATCCCCCTGTCCCCAGACCTATGCCCTCAGTCTCCTTGCCCCATCTCCTCCTTCCCAAGTCTCCCCGAATCCAGTTTCCCGACTCATTCACTAGCCTCAATTGTCATAGACCCAATCCTCCTACCCCCAATCCCCCTGCCCTCACTCTCCTAGTCCCAAAGTCTTCCTGCCCAAGACCCCCGACCCTGACCTTAGGTCGCACCTTTGCGTAGAGTGGGTCTTCGACGTTTCTTGTTCAGCCCATCCTCCATGTCAGCATCAGGGAAGGCTGTATCTTTGCTATCTGGAGTTTCGTTACCATCGTTTCTCTCCCCTTCTGTGTTCTCTACTTTCAACAGAGTGAGAAGGTCCTGGTTGCCCGTACTTTGCAGGCCCTCCATCTTCACCTTGGTGATTTTATGTTCAGTCCTGATTTCCAAGTCTGTTCTGAGTGAGGCTCTGGTTTTCAATGTCAGATCAGTGCATTCAGCCTGAGTGTCCTGTGGGACAAACCATCCAGTGATGAATTCACCATCATCCTCGTCAATGGTCAAGGCCCATTCGCTTTAGGGCAGTAACCAGAGGACCACAGCTGGACATGCTAGGAAAAGCTCATTGAGTTCTGCAGTGCTATGTGACCCATGTCTCATTTGTGTGAATGTGATTTATGTTTACCTGATTAAGAGCATGATTATGGTATAGGAGGTATGGAGATCCCAGTTGACTGGTATAAACACTATGGTTTCCTGGTGGTTCCAGTTTCTGTGGTACTGAAGTAGTGTTCCAGTGGGAAAATACCACTTTCCCACCAGTACACCACACAGGTTTTTCCAAAGATTTTTCCAGTCCAAACCAAATAAATAGTGACAAAAGATAGAACCAGCACTGAGCACTGGTGTATACTCACTAATAATCCTGCACCACCCAACTGCAGATCTACTGCTGACCCTGCTCCCTACCACACAAATCCCACACAATCTCATCCCATTCCTAAAGGATATTTATCACTGCTGATTGCCAAACAAATGTACTCTTTGCTGTTGCCTTGACAGATTCAGAAACTTGGAGGGTCTGTGCACCTCGATCAGCATGTGGATAACTGACTTCCACTTCTGGCGCAGAACCTAGAGGTCTGCATCATGGCATCATGAGATGGAATATACTTGGTAAAGCCAGCATTTATTGCCCATTCCTAATTACCTTTGAGAAGATGATGGTGATCTGGCTTCTTAAATACAGCCAAGTGACTTGCTAGGCCATTACACATGGCAGTTAATAGGTACATACAAATCTCCTGTCACTGAGTTTGTTCAGATGACACCAGGCCCTATAGTTCTGATTCACATGTATGTTTCTCTGATTGAGTTTTGGTCATTGACCCTCGTGAGTATTGAGCTATATTAAGTTCTTGTGGGATATGCTGAAAATTGATCAGCTGAGGGAAAATATCCTTACAATGGAAATCTCTGTCATGGATCACTGACCTGTGATGAAGACAGATAGTATTTTCCTCAAACTCAGCAGTGAGGAATCCTCACTACCTGACCTGGTTTCGAATGGGTTAAAATCAGACCTACAGTTTATGCAGCAAATGGGGAAAAGGTGAAGTTTGTACCTGCCAGACATTGTCCGAGAGGAGCTGTGTGTGTGTCAGCAGATACTGCAGTGTCTCCAGCTTCTGTTCCAGGAGCTGTTCACGCTGTAAAGCTTCCTGCAACAGAGAACAAATCCCCTTTACCTACCAATTGCTAAAAGGGATTCTGTGCAAACTCAAGCAGCCATGGACCCATTATAACCCTAGTAACATACACACACCGCCATAGGGTCCATCATAACCCTGGCAACACAAACACACTCTTTACAGGGTCTATTGTAACCTGAACAGCATTAACTCATTGTCACAGTGCTCACTGTAACTCTACCAAAACAAACTAATTCTCTAGCCACCCCCCAAAATAACAAGATCAAGACCAAACAAGGACAAGCCAGACAAACTCATTGCCTCTCCCACTGAATCACCACGGAAACAACAGGAGGCAAATTCTACTGAAACACGGCAATTACTGCAGATAAGGAGAGGTCTCACTGCTTGTGTTACCTCACTTAAGGAAACACAGATGCAGTGGAGTGGTACCATGGCCCCAGTGGTTTTTTAAGGTCAATATTTATGCCCACATGACAGTTTACAGTCAACCACATTGCTGTGGGTCGAGAGTCACATGTAGGCCAGACTATGTAAGGTTGGCAGATTTTCATCCTCAAAGGACATTAGTGAACCACATGAGCTTTTTCCCCAAACAATCATCACCATTTGTTCAGCTCTTCATTCCAGATGTATTCCAGGTGGATCTTGTTGACTATGAGATCCTTGATTGGGGTTTTTAAGCTGGGCCAATCAGAAAGCCCTGATGGGCCAATATAAACAGAGGAAACAGAATGTCCTCAGTTCAGGGACTGACTCTGAGCTGGCTGGCTATAGCCAGTGTACTGTGCACAAGTAAATAATGGGTGACTTGGTTACAGAATACCAGCCTCTATGCAGCTTTTTTATTGAAATTCAAATTTCACCATCTGCCATGGTGTGTACTGAACCCATGTCTCCAGAACATTGGCCTGGGGTATGTGTATTGCTAGTCCAGTGGCACTACCACTATGCTGCTGCATCCCCTAATGATGAAACAGAATTAAAAATCTTCTTGGGCACAGTTAGCAATGAGTATCTGACCCACTGCTTCACCCAGGCCCCCATTGTGGAGACCATTAAGTTTGAAGAGGTGAAAGGTCAGTGATGTGATATCTGTGGTTCAGCATGGTAGGTAGCCAATTAAAGAACTTCAGACAATACCAGTCATTCCAGGACACATCAGTTGTCATCAGTAAATGTCAATCTCTTGTGCAAATGTCAAATCCCAGAAAAAGGCATTTCTAGTGTGAATAGTGAAGTGAGATTATTAGCAGGAAAATATAACAAAATATTACTGCAATCGTGGAACAAAGTTCCCCATTTCATGCAGTCTGTTCCAGTATTGCTGGGAAATATTGAAAATGAATAGTGCTCACCTGAAGGTACTCAGCTAGCTGGTTCAACTCCTGCGAGAAAGGATTCATGCAGTCAACGGAACGCTGAGGAGATACAAGGGAATCAATAGAGCATGTAACCGACATCTGGGAGTGACTTACAGATGGAAACCATTGTCTTGCAATGAGTTCCAGACAGAATCCAAAATGTTTTAGGGTGACTTAACAGACAGTAACCAAATGTCTGGGAATGAGTTACAGACAGAATTCAACTTCTTGGAGTGAGTTACAGACCGAGACCAACATCTGGGAGCGAGTTCCAGGTGGAAACCAATGTCTGAGAGTAAGTTGCAGACAGGATATGATAACCGAGAATAAGTTATAACAACAATAATGTATATTTATATAGTGTCTTTAATATAATAGAGCATTCCAAGATGCTTCACAGGTGCATTATAAAACAAACTATGGGTTTGAGCCACATTCGGAGATATTAGATCAATTGACAAAAGCTAGATCAAAGAAGTAGGTTTTGAGGAGTATTTTAAAGGAGAAAATAGGGTGAAAAGGTGTAGGGCTGGTATCCCAGATTTGCAGGCTCAGGCAACTGAATGTGCAGCCACCAATGATGGAGTGATACAAATTGGGGCTGCTCAAGATACCTAAATTAGATAAGCACTGATAGCTCAGAGGATTATGAACCTGGAAGATTACCAGGATAGGGAGGGCTGAGTCCATGATGGGATTAGAAAACAAGGGGATGAGAATTCTAAGACATTGTTTGACCAGGAGTCAAAGTAGGTCAATGAGCCTAAGGATAATAGAGGAACAGGAATTGGTGCAATTTAAGACATGCGAGTCCAAGTTTTGGATGACTTCAAGTTTATGGGTAAAATATGGAAGATCAGCCTGGAACATGTTGGAATAGTCAAGTCTAGCGATAACAAAGGCATGAATAAGAATTTCCATAGATATACTGAAATAAAAGTGTATCAAACAATATTGCAGGGATAGAAAGAAAAGAAATTTTATTGATTGCTCAAATGTGTGGTGGAAGGTCATATCTGGATCAAATAATGATATATGGTTGCGAGCAGATTGGGTTAAATTCAGACTGCTGTTAGAGACTTGGAATGCCTAACTAAGGAACAGAATTTGGAATGGGAGCCGAAAACAATAGTTTCCATCTTCCAAATACCGAATTGGAGAAAATTTCTGCATTTCCAGTATTGAATATCAGATAACTAGTCTAATAGTTCGCAATGATGAAGTAATTGAGCGAGCTGGTGATGAGGCATATACAAATATACAAACGTGAAACAAGAGTAGGCCACTAGACCCCTCAAGCCTGCTCCACCATTCAATAAGGTCATAGTTGATCCAATTTTAACCTCAACTCCACATCCCTGCATATCCAAATAATCTTTCATCCCCTTGGTAATTAAAAATTTATTTGCCTCTGCCTGAAAAATATTTAAAGATTCTGCATCCATTGCCTTTTGAGGAAGGGAATTCTAAGACTCTCAACCCTCAAAGAAAACACATTTCCTCAGCTCCTCTTTAAATGGGCGATCCTTTTATTTTTAAATTATGACCCCTAGTTCTAGATTCTCCCAAATGAGAAAACATCTACCCAGTCAAGTCCCCTGAGGACTTTACATGTTTCAATAAAGTCACCTCTAACTCTTCTAAACATTTGAGGATACAGGCCTAGTAGCCTGTCTACCCTTTCCTCTAAAGGCAATCCACAACATCTCACTGTTTAGATAATATGTTTCTTTTTTAACCTGTCTGCCAAAATGGGCAACTTCCCACTTTCCCACATTGTACTCCATTTGCCAGATCTTTGACCACTCATTAAACCTCTTATATCATTTGTAAGGTCCTTAGGGCCTCCAAAAAACTCATTTTCTTACCTATCTTTGTGTCATCAGCAAATGTACCTATGTCACCTTCGATCCCTTCTTCTAAATCATTTATATAAATTGCAAAGAGTTGAGGCCCCAGCACCACTCGTGACATTCTACCAGCCTGAATAAAAACCACTTACTCCTACTCTCTGCTTTCTGTTAGCAAGACAATCTTCTATCCCAGCCAATATGTTACCCCCTACACCATGAGCTTTATTTTCCACAATAACCTTTGATGTAGCACTTTATCAAATGCCTTCTGGAAATCTAAATGCAATACATCCACTAGTTCCCCTTTATCCACAGCACAAGTTACATCTTCAAAAGAATGCCAATAAATTAGCTGAACATGATTTCCCTTTGAGAAAACCATGTTGGCTCTGCCAAATTATCTTGAACTGATCCAAGTGTTCTGTTACAGCATCTTTAATAAAAGCTTTTAATATTTCCCATATGACAGATGTTAACTGATCTGTACTTTCCTGACTTCTGCCTCCTTCCCTTTTTGAATAAAGGAGTTACATTAATTATTTTCTAATCTAAAGGAATTTTCCCTGAAGCTAATGAGTTCTGCAAAATTAAAACCAACTTATCAATTATTACAGTGGCTACTTCTTTCAAGATGCTCGTGTGAAATCCATCAGGACCTGAGAACTTGGCAACTCGCAGTTCTAACAATTTGTTCAGTACTACTTCCCTAGTAATTATAATTTCTTTGAGTTCCTATGTCCCTTTCAATTCCTGATTTACAGCTGTTTCCACCATGCCACTTGTATCCTCTGTAGAGAAGACTGATGCAAAATCTATTGAGTTCATTACTATCTCCTTATCTTCCATGAGCAATTCCCCAGACTCATTTTCTATAGGCCAACACTTACTTTCTTAGCTCTTTTCTTTTTAAAAATATCTGAAGAAATGTTTCCTATCTGTTTTCATACTTTTGATTAACTTTCTTTCGTACTCTAATTTTTCCCTTCTTACTAATCCTTCCAGATTCTTCGCTGTTTTTTCAATGTTCTGTCCAAGCCACCTATCTTTGCAGAATATGTCTTTTCTCTGAGTTTTTTTTTCATTCACGGGATGAGGGTGTCACTGACCAGGCAGCATTTATTGCCCATCCCTAATCGTCCAGAGGGCAGTTCAGAGTCAACCACATTGCTGTGGGTCTGGAGTCACACATAGGCCAGACTAGGTAAGGATGGCAGTTTCCTTCCCTAAAGGACATTAATGAACCAGACGACAATTAACAATGTGTTTATGGTCATCATTAGAACCTTAATTCCAGATATTTTATTGAATTCAAATTCCACCATCTGCCATGGCAGGATTCAAACCCAGGCCCCCAGAACGTTATCTGGGTCTCTGAATTAACAGTCCAGTGATAATACCTCACGGCCATTGCCTTCCCTTTGTTACTATCTTTGACTTTTTTAGTTAATCATGAATATTAGAATTTTCTTATTTGTTGGAATGTATCTATTCTGTGCCTTCTGGTATCTTGGCTTAACTGTTTACAACTTCATCTCTATTGGCCTATCCCTTAACCTAAAGTGCCAATTCACTTACACATGCTCTAATTTCATGTCCTCATAACTGTCCTTGTGTAAATTCAAGATAGTAGTCTTGGACCCGCACTTTTCTCCATGAAACTATATGCAAAATTCGACTATATTATTGTTGCTGCTGCCTGGGGGTGCTTACAGTGTGACATCAGAAATGAGTCCTACCTCATTTGTCCAAACCTCATATACTGCTTTCTGGTGGTGCCATAACATGCTGGTCAAAGAAATTGTCCCAAAAATATTCAATGACTGCGTCCTCTGGACTACTCTCACTCATCTGACTTTTTCCAGTCTATATGTAGGTTAAAATCCCCAATAATAATTACTGTACCCTGTTGACAAACTCCCATTATTTCTTCCTTAATATTCTTTCCTATCATGTGGTTTCTGTTCTGGAGGCTGTACACAACTCCCACAAGTAGCCTCCTGCCTTTATCATTCCTCATCTCATACTGCTTTTGTATTCTGGTGTCCTGAATTAAATTCATCTCTCCCTCTATGATGCAAATATCACCTTTAATTAACAGAGTCACTCCTCCACCCTTTCCTAGCTGCCTGTCCTTCCTAAATGTCACATACCCTTCAATATTCATAGAGGTAGAGTTGGATATCACCAGCACATACACAAATACTAACAAAATTTCAGATTAGGTCACCGAAGGTCAGCATGTAGATACTCTGGATACTATTAAATAGATATGAATGGAACCAGATCAGAGCAAGCTCGCCCAGTTGGATGACAGTGAAGAACCTTTGGAAGAGGATAGAATGATCAATTCTGTCAAAGGCTGCAGGCAGCTTGAGAAGGACATGGAGGGAATATTTACCTTTTATTTGTGACTTTTAATGACAGTAATTACAGAGAAGAAGCAAAATGTCTGGTAGTGAATTAGAGACAGGAACTGATGTCTGGAAGTGAGTTAGACAGGAATTATAAAGATTTTGCAACTCATGACAGACAGACCATTTGGCTTTATTTTTTCGATGCTGATGTTGACATTCCATATGCACCTCCTCCCACCATACCCATCAGCATATATTTCTATTTGTTTTTTCTTCATTTGTTTCGTTTCCCCGTAAATGCATCAATTCTAGTTGCCTCAACTACTCTTTGTGGTAATGCAATCCACAATCTAACTACTCTGGGTAAAGCAGTTTCTTTGAATTCCCTTTTGCAATTCTGTGTTTATGGCACCTAATAATGGTCTCCCTTCACACAGGTAGAGAAATCTCTAAATTCACTGTTTCAAACTCCTTCATAATCTTAACGAGCTCCCATTAGAAAATCCCTATGGCCTCTCTTTTCTAGAAACTTCAAGGAAAGCATAGCATGTAAAAGAAGGAAATATGACATTTTACTCCTCAGCAAACGATCAAAACTAAGGTAGACATTGTTACGTTGTATGAAATGAAAGATATCAGTATCAATTTTTTCGGGTTTTATTACTATCAGTCCAGTCTACCTGACCTGTTAACTAGCATTAACTGGCTATGCAGAGTTAGCATTCCAGTCACTAACTTTAAACTTCAATTTCCTTTTAACTCCCAGTGAACACTTCCATAGAGTTGGAGAAAAAAAATGAGGCAGACAGGAACAGACAGAACCAAATAATTGTTTAATTAATAA